AAAAAAAAAAAAAAATAAAAAATAAAAAATCATGATGAAGATGACCCCCGGTGTCCTTAGTTTGGCTAAAATATACTCCCTTCTATTTTTTTTAAATGTCATTCTAGCTTTTTCAATTATTTGTCAAATAAATGTCGTTTTTGATCTTTTGTACATATTTTTCCATTATTACTCTCATTTAGTCAATAAATGCATTACGTCTTTTCATATTCACTCTTCACTTTTTTCTCAAATTATTCATCTCTATCTTCATTAAATAAGGTTATTATTGACAAAAAAAAATATTCTTAATTAGTGTGCAACTTCTCAAAATGACATATATTAAAAATAGGAGGTAGTAATATTTTGGCATGTAATTGTTACATTTAATTGCATGTGCCTCGAGGCAACATCTATAAGATCATGTTAGGTTAGTAAGTTCAATTGTTGTAGAATGTGGGGACCTTAAATAATATTACTAAAAGTATTTTACAAAGACTTGGGGGAGCACATTTCAATTTCAGAAAATGACAAGTGATTAATTTTATGTGAACCTTTTTTTTTTTTTTTTTTTTTTTTTTTTTTTTTCTTTTTGTGTTATTGATTGTATTTGAATCTTTTATTCATTCTTAATGCTTTCGTGTGTTGATTGGATTGTATAAGCGAAAATGGATATGTTAAAGAGTGATTGAAATTGCTTGGAAGGTTCATAATTTGGTCCGAAAATGCATGAATAAGAATCAACAAATTTGACCGTTTCTTGAAAGAGATTTGCATTTTAAAAGTTTGTTACTTGAATATTGTCTCCGTGATCGGGATATTTGGTTTCCCTTTGGTCTAATAAAGGGATTTATTGGAAATAAATCAGAGTATTTTGACTTTTTCTATTTTTTATTTTCTGATGTAGCGCAACGTACGAATGAGAATAAATGAAAGATATTTCAATCTCAATTACGTATTTTTCTTATTGAACTTCAACCATCCAACATCCAGTAGAATGAGTCACAATCCTAATAATAGCTTGTTCAAGTAAATTAAGACATAATTATTCTGTTAGCAATTAAATACCAAACATAAAAGGAATAATAACAAAGTTAAAATAAAAGTAATTATATATCCCAAATAAATTATACAAGGCGATATCTCGTCTCCATCATTCTCCCCCTGTGAAAAGGATTCTCTCTCGAATCCAGTACAATCACACCTTCAACTGGCCGAGTTAATATTTCATTTTTGTAAACAAGAATTGTTCTTGTAATATTCTCCTATTTATATATTTCTATACTAAGTTATAAATCGAGTGAGTTCCTACTAGCGAAGGAGTCATCTCGTAGTCGGAAGCAAACGGTGGATACGTTTAGAGGGAAGACAAGTGGATTCCTAAAAGCGAGCAAACCGAAGTGTTCGTTATTAATCCGGGAACCAATTTCCTCAACCACCATCAAGAAGAAGGAGTTAGAGTTATAAGGTAATATTTGATATTACTTGTAATTTCTAATATTACTTGTAACAAATCAAAATTTGTATTATTACATGTTTTTAAAGATGACGATTTGTAAATTCGCTATATGTATATACGGGTTAAGTATTTAAGTGTTACATACTTGTTTTGAAAAATTTTAAATTCCGCTGCGTATAGCCCGTACGGTACAAGCGAACCCAACACAACATATGACGAGGGTGGGGCCCATGTCTCCACAAAGATGTTCCTCTGTCATCGGAGTCTCCTCATCGGAAACCGACAGAGTGTATTAGAAAACCGCTTGCATCGTAGTCGCCGACCTCCTCGGTGAACAATGCGCGTGAACCCCCGAACCGCGAACCCGCACCACCGAACGCAGTCCAAGCCGACACCCTCAGCCTCCCAAAACTCGCATCGCCTCGACACAAATCGTGGCCACCGGACTGTCGAAGACGTCATCTTCGCGTGGCACCTCACAACCCCAGAAGCCAGAGAAACCCTCATCCTAACGCCGCGCATCACGACCTTGGTGGTCTCCGTAACCCTTTACCACACGATGAGTCGCTCGACCCCAACGTCCTCGAAATCCACGTCTAGTTGCCGCTGCTCGCAATAGGGGCCATCGCCGAACTCATCGGCCTCCTTTTGGGATGGATGACCACTGAACGAGGCGCCCTGCCAAAGCCTCGTCCGCCAAACCCACCCTTAAAACCCTCGCGACCACCCCAAGCCGCGACCATGTTGCGGTTTGTTTGCTCGCTCTAAACGAAGGTACGCAGAGCCAGTTGGATGTCCTCGATCTCCGCGGACAGATCCGCAATCCGACGACCCATCTTCTCCAGTCGACGGCCAAACTCCTCTGCCTGGCGGCTCAGGTTGTAGAAGGCGGCGTCGCGCCTGTGGTCTACAACATCTTGTTTTCGCGGCAGCATCGTAAATCATGTTGATTTTTGATACCAACTGATGTAGCGCAGCGTAGAATGAAAGTAAAGAAAATAAATTTCAATCTCAACTACGTATTTTTTCTTGTTCAACTTCAAACGCCACAATATCCAAGAGAATGAGTCCTTAAAATAAAGCTCCTACAACTCTAATAATAACTCGTCCACTAAACAAGCTAATAAAAAATTATTCTCTTACCAATTAAATATTAAACATAAATTATACAACTCGATATCTCGTCTCCATCATTCTCTTACCAATTAAATATATATCCCAAATATTCTCTTACCAATTAAATATATATCCCAAATAAATTATACAAGGCGATATCTCGTCTCCATCATTCTCTCCCTGTGAAAAGGATTCTCTCTCGAATCCAGTACAATCACACCTTCAACTGGCGAGATTATACCCATGCTCGGCTACCGTGAAATTAATCCATTAAAGTTGAGCTATTGTGGAAAAATATTACGATCTTATTGTCGCACTGCAGTCTTGAAGTTGTATTGGCAGTCATAAAATATCGTTCATCTGGTTACCCTTCACTTGACATCGGTAGTTCAGCTTTTGTTTCTCCTAATTTCTCATTGCCACATGATCCCAGAAAAAGTCATGTCACCAGGTAAATTCCAAAGCCTGCCAAACATGTAAATCTCCATTTCGGATTCCCCTCAATTATATTGTATGGGCCCGTCCCAAGCTCTAGTAAAGGATGGACTTCTTGTCCAATATCTTTCGCTAAGGCAGGCATAAATCCATAATCTACAGCAAATTATGTCTGGAAGACGACCATTGAACATCCACTGCTACGTTCCACGACACACTTGGCAACAAACATGAACAACATATGACGAGGGTGGGGCCCATGTCTCCACAAAGATGTTTCTCTGTCATCGGAGTCTCCTCATCGAAAACCGGCAGAGTGTATTAGAAAACCGCTCGCATCGTAGTCGCCGACCTCCTCGGTGAACAATGCGCGTGAACCCCCGAACCGCGAACCCGCACCACCGAACGCAGTCCAAGCCGACACCCTCAGCCTCCCAAAACTCGCATCGCCTCGACACAAATCGTGGCCACCGGACTGTCGAAGACGTCATCTTCGCGTGGCACCTCACAACCCCAGAAGCCAAAGAAACCCTCATCCTAACGTCGCGCATCACGACCTTGGTGGTCTCCGTAACCCTTTACCACGCGATGAGTCGCTCGACCCCAATGTCCTCGAAATCCACGTCTAGTTGTCGCTGCTCGCAATAGGGGCCATCGCCGAACTCATCGGCCTCCTTTTGGGATGGATGACCACTGAACGAGGCGCCCTGCCAAAGCCTCGTCCGCCAAACCCACCCCCAAAACCCCCGCGACCACCCCAAGCCGCGACCATGTTGCGGTTTGTTTGCTCGCTCTAAATGAAGGTACGCAGAGCCAGTTGGATGTCCTCGATCTCCGCGGACAGATCCGCAATCCGACGACCCATCTTCTCCAGTCGACGACCAAACTCCTCTGCCTGGCGGCTCAGGTTGTAGAAGGCGGCGTCGCGCCTGTGGTCTACAACATCTTGTTTTCGCGGCAGCATCATAAATCATGTTGATTTCTGATACCAACTGATGTAGCACATCGTAGAATGAAGTAAAGAAAAGAAATTTCAATCTCAACTACGTATTTTTTCTTGTTCAACTTCAAACGCCACAATATCTAAGAGAATGAGTCCTTAAATAAGGCCGTTTTCTATTTTTGAACACATGTCCACCCCTGGAGATGGTCGAACATGCGACCATCCAGCCTCGTGGCTTTAAACTCCTACAACTCCAATAATAACTCGTCCACTAAACAAGCTAATAAAAAATTATTCTCTTAACAATTAAATATTAAACATAAAAAGAATAATAATAATAAATATAAATGAAAATAAATATATAACCAAAATCAATGATGCGAAACGATATCTCGTCCCGATCACTTTTATTTATCAATTATGGGTATGGAATAATTAATGTCATAATACTACTAAAAGTTTCTTTAACTTGGCTACAATTTAGAATGAAACATTTGAAATCTCTTATTGAATTTAGATTTTATTTTGAACTCAAATCTTTAATTTCATGACCTAGTTTCAATGAATATTGAATAATCAGTTTCGAAGTGAGTGTTGGAATAATCCGATTCATTTTATTTTTTTTTTCAGCGTCGTTTTCAAATTGGATCGCTAATAAAAAAAAAAGCTTTGTCTTCTCC